TACTCCCTTCAGAGGACAGCACAAACAGGCTACTGTGGTTACTATTTAATGAAGATGCCAGTTGGGGACCTGTGAGACTCTTATGTACTTATCTTCTTGCTCAGTTGTGCAACGTGGCCTCCCACTTCTTTTTCTACTCTGGTTAGAGCCTGTTTGTGCTGTCCTCTGAAAAGTACAGTGCTTTTCCTTCAAAAATAAGGACATTTCAATGTGACCCCAAACTTTTGAACGGTGACCCCAAACTTTTGAACTTTTATCCTTTTTTTTGTGCAAAATCTGCTGCAGTGTTTTAAGAGAATGGGGTCGCTTCTGGTAAAATTGGCCCCAACAACAGTGGTTATGATAAATAACTTAATAATTAGATTAAAACGCAAATAATAAAACTAGCAGCTGAGAGACGCTTTAAATGGGAGGTTTTCCATCGTTATTTTTACAGTAACTTTCTAATTCAGTTATTAGTTTTTCAGAAATGCTGAACTCGTTCCCAGTGAATAACTTTTTGTCGGTGTGATTTCTGAACCCTTCCAGCTCCCTGCGCTCTCTCTGCTCCATGTCAGCTCTCTCTCTGCTCCATGTTATTCCTCAGAAACAGAACTATGTTGGTTCTGGTCCAATCATTCCGGAAGTCTGGACCCGCTACATGTTTCCCACCGTTTAACTCCTTCAACCAGGCTGAAAACCCGAACCCACAGCTCACCTCACGGCTGAAGGGTCCAGCTTCCATCCCGACAGGACTGCATCTGTTCCCGCCGAACCAGGACGTCTGCTGCTCCGGCTGGAAGCTTCCAGCGCACTTCCTAAATCTCAGATCCAAACTCCCCAACCCGGACACACACGCTGCTGCCACACATGCGTACAGCAGCCCGGGGCAGCTGGGCTTCAACAACAACAACTACTAGTTCCGCTATCATTCCTGAGATAACAGCCCGCCCACTGTAAGGCTGGAGGCTCTGCAGAGGGAGAGTCCAGCAGAAACCACAGCGCCTCTGAGAAAGACTGGACCTATGGACAGCGGCGGAGCTACACGGGCCCTAAAGGGGCCCCTATGTCCACAGACTATGACAATTCATCTCTTTCTTAAAGGAGAAGTCCGGTCATATTCAAACTTTAAAGTCATAGGGAAGACATATTGAAATGCCAAATCATTCTGGCTTAAACATGTATATAAATGTGCTCTTTATCAGACAATATTGTCCTGAAATTTAGAAAATTTCTCTAAAAAACAAACAAAAAACTAAATTAAGTTTAAAAAAGGTTAAAAAAACAATTGAAAATTTAAAAAGTAAAGTTAAAAAGTTAATACACAAAGTTGACAATTTAGGTTTATAAACTGAGGCACCGTTTGTATCAAAAATAAGCAGATGATGTATAATGTCTAGATGTTGTGCTGTTGTTGCATAGACATATGCAACACCTACATACAAAACATAGACATGCAGAATCTACATATGCAACAAATACATGTGCAACTTATTCATATGTAGACAACACATTTGCAAAAACAGCACAGCATCTAGACATTTTACATCTGCTAATTTTTGTCACAAACGGAACCTCATAATAACTAAAAAATGTCAGTGCCAGTATCAGCATTAATGCCTCTAAGGTTATGTTGCTCCCCCCCAAAAAATAATTGTTTTTCACTCTCAGAGTGTTTTTCATGAATTTATTATAGAAAAAACTTTTATTTTTAATATATTCAGGCAAGCTTGCGTTTCTTGTTATTACATTGAAATACATTTCTTAACTTTTTTGTCCTGGATTCCAATAACACTTGAAATTTTGATTATCACATAGTGCCCTATAAAGGGTTAAGTATTTTACCATATAAACCATTAGTTTAAATTAGTTAGATTGTGTTTTTTTCAGGATTTTATTTCTAGACTTATTTATTGCAACTGTTAAATATTGATTAACAGTTCACGGTAAATATCTTATGTTTTCTTTATGAAATTGACCCGAGAGATTATTTTTTTTTCTACTCACAATGAAGTAACTTTGACTTAGAGTTATATTTTGGATATGGGCCTTTTCTTGTATTTGAGTCCTTTTTAAAATCTTTTTTCAACCTCAGCATAACACCAAGTGCTGGTACTTAACCGATGACTGGGCTAATTCTGACCTGAAAACCAACACAGTCATTTTCTGTCCTTTTCTGCTGCATCAGTTCATTTTTAAATTGTCAGGTTTCTGCTGATGTTGAAATGCAAGGAAGCCTCCATGAAGCAGGTCGCTACTGAAAACAGAGCCATGATTTCAGAGCTTTAACTGGTCGTTCAGATCTATTACCTGCATTACGCCACACAAACTGTTCAACCATCATCTGCTGCATTTACTGGTTGGTGCTTCATAATCAGAGGTGTTTAGAATGACCTACACTCTGCTTCAGGTACTTCAGTTAACTTTGGAAAAAAAAAATTGTTTAGTTTTAACCTCTACTTCAATACTAATAACATTTCTAAGGCATTTCAGAAGCAAGTAGTGGTGGATGGAGAAAATTTCACAAGTTGGGCAACAGAGGTACAAAAAGTCTGGGCAAGGCAGCAATGCTTGATGTCTTTATTGAAGTATGAAGGAAATCTGTTTAAGTAAAACGATTTTAAGGTGTAGGCTAACAAATTACAGCAAATACTTCACAAATAAATAAATGAGAAGACACAAATACACAGAAAGAACTTTGATGATCATGCAGGAGTGATTCCAATCATCCCTTTGGGAGACCTTAAGAAAACAGTTGTTGGCAACAAATTGTCCCAAAAAAAGATCCAGATCTACCACTTTGGTTCATTGCTTCTGTCTGAAACAAGACCTGGGTTTGAAGGGAGACAAATCCATTCTAAAGCACATATCAAGGAGCTCATTTTGAGCCTGGATCCATATTTATTTTTGATTCTGTTCATGGTGGAGGATCCTGCTTCACAGCAGCAGGTTGAGCCAAACATCCTCTAAATGTTCAGGGTCATCTTTGAGCACCATTTCACTTTTCTTTCACCAGTTCAGCTCAGTTCTTCCAGCAGTCCACACTTTCTCTGCTCTCTTTTTCTCATCATCTTCTCCTTCTTTCCCATCGCCCGGCTTGCCACAGGTTTGCCTGCTGTGTCTAAAAGTAGCAGCAGCAGCAACCCAGACTGACAGGAGCTCATTGGATAATTTGGATCACATGTAGCCTGGTGCCAGACGCTCTGGAGGGCTTTACCGTATTATAGGAGAAGTGGCGCAAGTGAAATTAGACACTGTCGTTGGAGAACATGCGGTAATTTATAAATGTATTAAATCAGGTCGGGTCCGGATTAGACAGCAGCTTGGTCCAGATCCAGACCGTGGTCCACTAATCTGTGACCTCTGACCTGCATGATCTGGTTGTTACAATGTGGATCTGATTCTTTAAAACAAGCAGTTCCCCATTAAACCAGAGGGAGGCAGCAACGCTCCTCTCAAGTCAGCTGTCCTACAGTAACTCATTTTACAGTCTAAATGTTAATATATAATAACCAAAAACTGACCTCAGATATACAGTGATTATTTATTCACATCATCATACTAACATTTAGCATTACAAACACAGAATTTATGCTCTCTCAGAGGTTTTTTTTATTTAAATGGGGTAAATGTGAAAGTTACAGTATGTGTCTCTGCAGGTCGTCTAGAAGTCTAAAGATACACATAGCATACATGAATATTGAAGTCTAGGGAATCTACTTTATGCTTTTTAGTTTGAGTTAAACAGGTGGTATGTTTTGTGGAACATTCAGCTTTTGTTTTTTGTTTAAAACACGGGTTGTTTTGGTCATGCTTGCATTGAAAAGGCTGTTTATGTGATGTTTCTATCTGGGAAATGAAGCAGAATAAGCAACTAAATTACAGCAATTTGGCAGTTATTAAAAGGAATATAAAAGATTTAAATAGTCCAAAACATCACATTTATTGCATTTATATGAGTTGCTGGTTGATTATTGAATACTTATTAGAATTGATAATACATGATCATTTTTTTTAAAAAGAAGGACCATCCATATTTTGCAATAACCATAGCAAAATGCAAGAATGTTTTCAGTTAAGTTTTAAGTTTGACTGACTTTCTTTTTAATATACTCATTTGAATTTTTCATCTTTACTGTCTTTAACACTGGAAAAACGATCTAGTAATAAGTAAAAATATCTTAAATTAAGTGTATTTACCCTTATTTGAGCAGGTAAATGAGATTTGCCAATGGAATGAGTATTTGTACTCTTAAAATAAGATAATTAGGTAATATGCACTTTAAAGACGACAATGCATTTGTGTTTTCTTATTTTAGGTGTAAATTGTTTTGTTCCATTTGCAAGATGTCTCTTTTACCTCCACAATCCCAGAACAAATGCACTTATCTTAAGAAAAAATTATTTATCTAGTTTTGGTTTTTTTTCCAGTGAATTGCTCATGTTACTTCTATGCCCCTGCAATTTACTTTTATTTCTCCTTTTTTTCCCTCATGTAAAGAACTTTGAAATTTTATGCAACAGTAATGTACTGTATAGACTTGCCTTGGCAATTATAAAATGCTGCAGAAATGATCACAAAATACATGAATGGATTTTATTGCATTTTGATGCATATACAGTAGTAGGCATTCAGAATGTCCCCACTTTCCTTGATGGGACCTTGGTTGGTACCCTACAATTCCTTTTTAAACATCAATCTTTGTACTAAAATATTCTTTGGGGGGGATTTTGCAGGGAAGTGGGCTGCCATTCGGCTGACGTTTTACTGGGAAGGGCCGTTTTGAATGGCTGCTAGTGTATAACAAAATGCTGTTTGTACTGTAGTCAAGTTTTATTTTATCATGAAGTCTGGGTTCATTACATAGAGGTAATGTTTGTTACACTTTCTCTTATCTTTTAAGGTTTGTTCTTTGATTCACATATCAGCACACATTGTACCAATATCTCCCTTCAGGGACCAAAGTTTTTCCTGGAAATTATCATTTCTTATAGGTTCCTCTGGAGGCCCTCTTATATCGCAGAGAAGTAACCTGAAGGCCCTGAGCATCTGTGATTAGATTAGAAGGTGGTGGAGCTTTAGGAAGAAGCTGCTTTAGCTGCAGGGCCTGAATGATGCGGGTTGGAGACAATGTTAGAGTTTATCCCAGACTTAGGCTACAATCACACTTCAGGTCTTGATGCTCTACTTTTTAATGACATTTTATTTTTCTACATGGGTTTTCAAATTGATATTTACATGGAGTCACCATCAGTTCAATTCACTTCATTCTTATAAATCTAATTTACAGAAAGTTATTTCATCTTCTGTTTTGAATCCTTGTTAAAACAAAACATTTTTTTACGTGTTTGTTAGGAATTAAACATGTTTATTAAATAAGGCAGTGAGAAATGCTAAAAGAGAGAAAGATCTCCGGAGCGCTCTGTAATAAATCTCTGATATGTATTAGATTATCATTTAAAAGGTGAAGAAATTATAATAATTCTGTCAAAAATCACAACCCAGACAACTAAGAATGTAAATCAACCTTTCTTTTGCTCTATTTGGTTTTCGACTGGATGCTAAAGTCAGTATAAGGAATGGTGGAAGACGTGGAGGCGGACTCTCTGAGTTCGTCTCACATGGTTGGATTCATCTTGAAGGTCACGGTTTTTACCTCGGAGTATTCTGCCAGCGCATATTCTCCTCTAGAGGGGTCAGAACAGAAAAACACGCTCAGTGATGCAAAGTGAAAGACAGGCAACCAAATACAAATACTTCTTACAGCTCTCGTCCATTTCCCGACATCTTGTATCCTCCAAACGGCGTCTGAACATGCAGGGCGTTGTAGCAGTTTATCCTTGACAGACATAACGAGAAAAAAGGGCCACAGTTATTCTTTTTAATGTCAATATTTTCATGTTTTCTCTTAAAAACTGCAGCAGAACCAGTCAGTAAAAGCTTTTGAAGGTTTTTTTTTGTATGGAGCAAATTTTGTTCCATTATTTGAAAGAATAAAATATGAGAAAAGTTATGCTCAAAACTTTTGTTTATAGAAGTTTTTCAGAGTTTTATTTCTGGGTTGCATATTTTCAAATTCCCATTTACTTAATCACTTTGGTTGCAACAATAATGAAATAAAACCCATTCTGTAATGTAGATGCTCACCACACAGTTCCTGTCTCCATGGCTCCAGAGACAGACAGAGCTCTGTCCATGCTGGTTGTGAACACTGCGGACACCAGGCCGTAACGGGAGTCGTTTGCTCTCTCTACAGCTTCCTGTTGGCTCTTAAAGCTGAATAAAGAAAGCACAGGACCAAAGATCTGGAAGCACAAAAATAGGATTGAAAACCAGTTAAATGATGCCCAAATCTTTCCCTCTACTTTAGTAGTATTGTAAAAACAATGGAAATTCATTTTCAATTCAGTTCAGTTTATTTTATAGCAACAATTCACATCTGATCTCAAGTAACTTTAAAGAGAAAATTAATCAAGTAAACCAGACAGATCGGTTAAAAGTTTTCTATCAAAGGAAACCAAGTTGATTGCATCCAGTCATTGGCTCTTCAGCAATCCTTAAAATTGAACATGCATGAAGGGACGGTGGAGAGGAAAACTCCCTTTTAACAGGAAGAAACCTGCAGCAGAAGCAGAACCAGGCTCAGTGGGAGCAGCCTACTGCTGCAGCTGACTGGGACAGACAGAAGCAGACACACTAAAAAAAACATATAACTTCTGTATAAATATTTTCTATGTTAGAAAAGGTAAACTAAACCATTTTCACTGGTGGCTCTGTCTAGGAAAGAAACAGATATTTATCCATTTTTTGTCTGGCTTATCCCAGCTGGGGGTTGTGAGGGGTGCTGGTGCCTATCTCCAGCTGTCTATGGGCGAGAGGCGGAGTACACCCTGGACAGATCGCCAGTCCATCGTAGGGCAACGCAGAGACAAAATGGACAAACAACCATTCACACACACACTCACACCTAAGGAGAATTTAGAGAAGCCAAAGATCCTAAAAGACACAGATGAGCTCTAAGTCAGTGGAGTAGCACTGCAGTCAAAAGGGATGAAAGAGCAAATAGAGTTCCATATCTAGGAGAGAAACAGGACTAAACACTGAAAAATAGGGCCAGTGCAGAGTAAAGGCTGTAACCTCTTCCTTGGCGATCCTCATGCTGTCTTTGACCTCCGAGAAGATGGTGGGTTGAATGAAGAGGCCTTTTTCACCCACAGCGCCTCCTCCGTATTCCAGCTTAGCTCCTTCTTTTTTCCCACTCTCTATCAGGTCCATAATTTTGTCAAACTGTCGTTGGTCAATCTGATAATAATAGAAAAGGTACAAAAAAATGTTACAGGCCTGATGACCTGGTATGTTACATACAGTATACAATCCTTTTGAAACGGTCTTTAAATTGACAAAAAAGATAACTAAACAGAGCTCATTGTGACCCCTCTCTAAGCTCTTTTTCTCTTGTGAGGGTACACATGGATTTATGCAATTAGACTTGTGTGTTTAGGCGTTCATGTGGATGTAGCGTTAGCAACATTAGCAGCTGGTTATGGTTTGTTTACCATAGGGTGACCAGACGTCCTCTTTTTCCCGGACATGTAATACTTTTCATACTTAAAAAAATGTTCAGGGGGAATTTCAAAATCGTCCAGGTTTTTGGTCGACTACAGAGCAGCAGAACCGAGCCATGAGGTCCGGGGCTGGTCCGGGAATTCCAGTGGACGTGGGGAGGGAGCCAGCGGGGGATGGTGCGACAGAACCTGACCCGGTGACAGTATGCACGGTAAGGCAGGCGGGGGGAGGCATACCGTCAGTGGGTGGGGTTCAGTCGCTCTGTCCCCAGCTGGCTCTGGACCAACCCAGGACCTGATGGCTCGGTTCGAATGCCTGGTCCGGTTCCAGTCAGCCACATCTAGTCACCCTAGTTTACTGTTGTTTTCCGCTCTCTGACACAACAGGTAAAAGTTACACCAGCAGAAACACCTTCCAGCTTTTCTGGTTTGAACATAGAGACCACAGAAAAAAAACAAGCCCCTTTAACATTGCAGATTTTCTTGTAGGTTTTTACTGAGGTTTAACACCAACACACGTTTTAGAATGAAAAATTCAGGTGTCCGTGTGATGGCTGCTTTCATTAAAATGATGCTACGTTATATTACACCTATAGAGTAGGTAACTTTATAAGCTTTAGACCATAAAACCTTTGCAGGGGTGGAAAGTAATGAATTACATTTACTGTAAAACCCTTGGCCATATTTGGACGGATTATTTGTTTTCAAATGCACAAAAGGGAACAATGTGATAATGCAGTGCAACATGTGCCTGCCCAGCAAAATGGAGCTTTCGGCTTTAAAACATCAACATCCAATTTACGAAAAAATGTGGCGGTAAGTTAGTTATCATGGTGTTGTCTGTTGGACAGTAGGATTGAAATTGTTTGCACTTTATAGTACAGGTTGTGACTGTCCTTGTGCTGTGAGGAAGTATGTTCTTTAGCCCAGCTGATCTTTTGCCAGTATGGATGTCCACTGAAATACGCCTTAAAATTGATTAAAACACCTTGTGCTCAATTCGATTCATGACTCATCCTTTTTTTGCATTAAATAACTCAAAGTAACAAGTCACTTTTACTCAAATTACATTTTAAATGGAGTAATTTCGTACTTTTACTTGAGTAAATTTTGAGATGGGTAATTTTACTTTTACTCTGAGTATAATTTAGGCAAAGTAAAGATACTTTTACTCAATTACAATTTTTTAGTACTCTTTACACCTCTGAACCTTTGACAGCTGGAGATGTCCTTCTCAGTAGATGCCAAACCTATAATACAACTACCCATGTAAAGTTGTGTGGAGTAAAAAAAATGTAGAGAAATGTCTGTTCTTAGCCTCACAGGCTCCAACCGAAGGTCATGAGAGATAATAATGAGTTACACAGCCTCCTTCATGGCATGAAGGAGAGGACTGTTATTTAAATGAGATCCATCTGGCCAGTAAAATATATATTAACCTAACAGGGAACGGCCTTGATGAACTGAAGTTTTTTTTCCTCCAAATGTTCAAGTGTGAGAAAGTTCTTTAAGAAGGGGGTGGGTTGGTTCCCCTCGGGTGAGTGTAAGGTATAAATGTATGTACTGAACTTTGCCCAGTCAGAACTATATTTCTCCGTCTGAGGATGTTAGATAAATTTGAACCTTTTTTCTTGCAAGAAATGCCTTTGCCTCAGCTTCCTAACTCCACACACCTGAGTCAGGCCGGTCGTTTTTAACATGTTTAAATGTTTGGGAGTCATGTACTGCCTGTCTCATCAGTATAAATGCATGTGATCCTATTAAAGTAAAGTAAAGTTGTTTATTTCTGTTCTGTGTTTTTAGAAACCACATTTTCATCTCCCAAACCTACATTCCACCTGTATGCAGGGCTGCACTGACCATTGGGCATGTTTCCATAGGGCATCATGTTTGGGTCGACCCAAAGCAAGGCAAGTTTATTTCCGTACCCCATTCAGTATAAAGAAAATTCAAAGTGCTTTAGATGAATTAAACGATAAATAGAAGGAAAATAGAAGAATAAAAGCAAGTACAGATAAAAACATGATAAAAGCAGGCCATTATCCTCTAATAAAAAACGTATTTATCATTAAGTACCTGCTCTAATAATATTTCTTAAATAACTGATCAATTCATAAAAGGGTAACCTAAATATAAAATTCAAAGATAAAGTTAGATCCACGCAAGGATGATACACAAAATGTTTTCTTTCTGCATTAAGTTATTCTGTACATTTTCGATTTTGGTCTTCATTATACGACATTTTCCCTACAATTATTGTGTTTTTTCGAGTAAATGTTTATTTTCAAATAACAGATCTGATGATACGATCAGTTAGTTAATATTCATGTAGCCTTTATACATAACAATTCTTTTTATGATTTATGAATTTCTTTTTTATTATTTTTGAAACCACTAAAGATGCCCTCATATTCTCTGGAATGCTACCCATACGTCCAACGAATCATGGAGGGCCGCCACGATTAAAAGTGCCCAGGCCCTTTTTCAGACCCAGTTCAGCCCTGTCTGCCTCTCCTGACTCTGCCTTATGGGATCCTGGCTTTATAGCAGTGTTCTAACCAAAACTCCAGAGCGAACTTATCTGTCAGTAAATATGTTTTGTTCTGGTTTTAATTTTATTTTTTTCTTTAAATTTCAGGTCACTAATCTAGAAAGCTGTATAAGTAACAAGTTCAGCTTTCATACCTGAGGCCCGTGTGTTGTCCGTGGGTCCAGAGGGTCTCCTATGACGATCTTCTTGGCCTTTTCTACGCTAAGACGCACAAACTCTTCATAAATGCTTTCCTGCACAAAGACCCGTGAAGCAGCTGTGCAGCACTGGCCTTGGTTGTAAAAAGCTCCTTTCTGAATCTCCTCCACAGCCAGCTGCACTGCGGATACACAGACAAGTGCTACGGGTCAGTCACTCAGTGATCTTCTTGATCTGCAAGAATATGGTTACCTATAGTACTCAATATTGATCAAAGATATTATATTTTAGAGAAACGCTTTTAAATACCGGTACCATAATATTCATTAAAAGTCTTTGAACATTGATAAAGGTCTCGAGTTATCTTTGCCCCTGCAAGTTCAGCAAACATACATAAACACCCTACATGCACCCTATAGCCTGTCTGCTAACCGGACAAAAACTATGATAATTTTTACTTACAGTCACAGTCATCAAACACAATGCAGGGATTCTTTCCTCCCAGCTCCAAAGTTACCCTCTTCAAGTTACTTTTAGCTGCAGCCTCTTTGATCAGCTGTCCGACCTGAAAGCAATAAACTCCCCTTACAGTTTGTTGCAATAATAAAGACATAAAAATGAAATATGTGCTGGTTAGCATATTCGTAATGAATATTAAAAATAAAAGCTATAAATTACCTATCAAAAAATCATACCATTTATGTTTCTAATTACTTTATGGGGATTTAAACTAAAGTTGGATAAAATCTGGTTCAAGAAATGTATAAAAAATAAGGTGTTTTCATTGTCCTATAGGGAGATATGTGGAACTACATTGGGGACATAAAGTTTGCTCCTAAAATATATTTTTTTAATGAAAAAAAAAAATTAAATTAAAAATAATTTTTTTGAAACTGAAAAAAAAAAAAAAAATTTTACTGACAATTATTTTGGAGACTGAAAACGTTCAAAACCAAAAATATAGTTGAAACAAAAAAACATATATATTTATATTGATCAAAAATAAAATGCAAAAAGAATCACACTCGGAAAAGGTTTAAACCCTTCTATTCAGATAGGTATTTTTATTTTTTGAGTTTCAAAGTTCTTGCCCCTGGGTGTGGGGGCGGGGCCTAAATAGCAGGGCTTAGGTGCCTTGACAAAATGTTCTGCTTTCATAAACCAATGGAACTATAAATATCGTCAAAGCATCGTGGATATTCTATATTTATCCGAATAATGTTAAAAAGAATAACATACTTTTTTAGATTCTGAGAACTTTTTTATTTTGAAAAAAATCTTGTTTTTTCTGAGTCAAAAATACTTTTCTGCTTTAGAAGTACGGTATTTTCGGTCACAAAAAAATTATAAATTATTCTATTTTTGCCAAAGATGAGGGAACAACAAAACAACAAAGCAGCACTGAGTGACTGCAGAGGTGGAGTAAATATGAGAGACTGAACCAAGACAGGCTAAACAACAGATTGGAAGCAGGTGTGGGCAAGACCAACTAGGAGGAAGTCAAGGGGAAAGGAAAACAAGGGCAAGGGTGCAACAGAGGGTAGCTAAAGAACTAAACACTGGTAGAAATAAACTACAAAGGCACAGAACACAAAGAAACGTAAAAAAAAACAAAACCAAGCAGAGAGCAGAACCCTGACACTGACCTCTCAAATGGCTCTTAAATATAAAACCACTTATTTTACCATATATCAGGCTTCAATAATTGCTAAAAAATTATTTAGCAGAACCTTTTCCTCATGAATTCACGCACCTCCGTGGAGCCAGTGAAGGCCACTTTATCGATTCCACCATGGATGGCAATGGCTGCCCCGGCTGTGGATCCAAACCCTGGAACGATGTTAACAACTCCAGGAGGGAACTCTGCCTGAGAAAAGGAGATCCAGAGAGCAGATTGAAGCAGGAGATCAGAGTCTACCCGACCAAACATTAAACACCACCAGGAGCTATTTATGCTGATCAGACCCGAAACATTAAGTCAGGGGGGAAAACACAACATGAAGAAAACCTTTCTACTTATGGCTGACGTTCCGACTTTTGACACTTTACAGCAGATCTGCCTCATTTTAAACAGCATGTTGGATTAATAGAATTTTAAAGGATTTCTTTTTTTTTTTGAAGGACGATCCAGAAAAAAAAAAGCCACTGAAAAAAATGTAAACATTAAACGATTATTTGTTTTATGTAAACATAAAACAAATAATTTGAAATTGAAAGATTATTTGGATGCTGAGGAAAAAATATCTAAAATTGAAAAGTATTTCTGAAACTGAAAAAAATAAGACTTGAAATCAAGAATTGTTTAAAACTTCTCAGATTATATAGAAGAATTTTGATTAAGAAACTACATAAAAATCCCATAAATATAGAATATTAATGATGATACATCTTCCTCTCATGGTTCTGCATAAACCAGCTGAAAATACAATGTCCAGGCAGCTAAGATGTCAATCGTCGGTAAAAAAAAATTATCTGAAAATAAGTTTCAAACATTTTTTTTTTCAGTTTCAATTTTTTGGGGGTTTTTTTCAACCAGAAAACATCTTTGAGTTTAGTTTAGAAAATGTTCTTTTTTTAGTTAAAATTATTATAAAATATTTTCAATTCTTATTGTTACATTTCTAAAGCTCTTAATGGTAATATTTCACTTACTGAGCTTCTCTGTTTTGAGACGAAGTCCATGGAGGTAAAATGAGGCCATAAAGTTTTTTGAAAAAATATTTAATAAAAAAAAAAAGAAAGTAATAGGAAATAATTTAAAACTTGTCAACAAAGGATTTAGAACTAAAAAGTATTTTGGAACCTGAGAAAGAGAAAATAAAACAGTAAAATCGAAATAAAGTTACTGGAAACTGAAATATATTTTTCATATTTTTCACTTGCCAAAAGTTTTCAGACTTGAAGCTTCTTTTCAGTCTTAAGTATTTCTTTCAGCGTCAGATCAGCTTTTTTTCAGTTTGAAACTGCTGGCTTTCTAGCGTGACGGCGGCAGGTAGATGACTTATAGCTTAGGTGCCTGGATGAACATATTTCCAGCTGTTGCATTCAGGAACAGTAGGAACTACAAATGTCTTCAAAGCATCATCTATATTAAATATTTTTGTTATTTTGTTTTAAATAAACATCTTCTGTTAAATCTGAGAAGTTTTCACATTTTTTTCTGTTTCCAAATAATCTCTTCATTTGAAAAGATGTTTTTTTCTGTTTAAAGTTTCAATTTCATATGCAAACTTTATGGCACCAATTTGGCTCCATAATCTTTCTCCTTTTTCTTAAACTCTCTGAATACTAAATATGAAGTTAAATTGTCTGTTAAACCGTAGCTGTTTGGGTTGAAGACGTTTCAGACCTCTTTGATCAGTGACCCGATGTGTAGAGCTGTAAGGGGGGTCTGCTCTGCAGGTTTAACGACCACGGTGTTTCCACAACTCAACGCTGGAGCAATCTTCCACATGAGCATCAACAGGGGGAAGTTCCACTGGAGGAGACATGAAGAAAAATATGTGGTCAAGACAAAGTTCCTCTCAGTAAATATGTGTTTAAAACCCTACTGGTATAAAAAAGGTAAATGTTCTCTAATCTTTATCAGATCCAAAAGCACTTCACACTACATTCACTAATTTACTCACACTGATGGTGGTGAGAGCATTATTGCCACAGCTGCCCTGGTTGAATGAAGCAAGGCTGCTTATGTGCTCAAACCAGCAACCCACCAGTTAAAGCAGGCATCCCCAAACTCGGTCCTCGAGGGCCGCTGTCTTGCAGGTTTTAGAGGTTTCCTTGCTCCAGCACAGCTGATTTTAATTGAAAGCTGATTAACAGGCTTTTGCTCAACTGCAATCATTATAATCAGCTTTGCTAAAGGAGGGAAACCTCTAAAACCTGCAGGACAGCGGCCCTCGAGGACCGAGTTTGGGAAAGCCTGAGTTAAAGACCGCCCACTAAGCACTATCCGCTAACTACTGAGTGACACACACAATAAGGTCACACCCATAGCTGTAGAGCAGACCTGGGCATTTTACGGCCCGCGGGCCACATCCGGCCCGTTGGCTGTCCCTGTCTGGCCCACATGAAGTCAAGTAAATTAAAACATAAATCAAAAAATAGGCCTATTTAATCTGAGCATGAGATACGGCAGTATTACTTTTATTTTGAAAAGACTGCCATTGCTTTTTTTTTGTTTATGTTTACATAGTGACGCACATGCGTAAGCGAACAGCGACAGGTGATGCTCATAAGAAAAAAAAGTGATGCTGGTAAGCTCGCCCTCAACATGTCAGCCCACGGCAAAAAGAGGAAAATCGACACAGAATGCCACGTTTTCAACAAGACATGGATTGCTAAATATTTATTTACAGAAGTCAAAGGTAAAGCCGTCTGCTTAGTTTGTGGTGTACAGGTCGCCGCGCTTAAGGATTACAATTTGAACCGCCACTACGTGACCAAACATGAGGAGAAATACAAGAACTTGTCTGACCAAGAGCGTGCAAAGGAGTCGGATGCCTTGCTAGCTAAGCTGCAAAACCAACAAGGACTTTTTACAAAACTTTGCACATCCAGAGATGCAGCTGTCAAGACAAGTTATGTCATATCCCACAAAATCGCTAGAAAAAGTAAGCCGTTTTCTGACGGGGAGTTTATTAAGGAATGTTTGTTGGACTCTGCTGCCTTAATATCCCCGGAGAACGTGCCTCTCTCACGACGGACTGTAACGAGGAGGGTGGAGGACATTGCGGGGAATCTGGAACTTCAGCTTAAGAACAGAGCGGTCAGCTTCGACAAATTTTCCCTTGCTTTGGATGAAAGCTGCGATGTAAGTGACAATGCCCAGCTACTTATTTTCATACGTGGGATATCTGCGGACTTTAAAATCACGGAGGAGCAGGCAGCCATGCAGTCAATGAAAGGGACAACAACCGGGAGTGATTTATTCACGGAGCGTGTTTGGACAAGTTGGAACTAAAATGGGACAAGCTGGCATGTGTGACAACAGATGGTTCTGCAAATCTGACTCGGAAAAATGTTGGACTTTTGAAGAGAATGCAGAATAAAGTGACAGAAATTAACCTTGAGCAGAAATTGACATTTTTGCATTGTATAATACATCAAAAAGTGTTGTGTAAGTCAGTGTTAAAAATGAACCATGTTGTTGATGTTGTAAATAAAACGGTTAACTTCAGCAGGGCAAGAGCATTGAATCACAGACAGTTTGTTTCACTCTTGGAGGAAAGAGAGATTGAACATTGTGACATAGGCTACCACACAGCTGTCAGGTGGCTCAGCCTGGGCAAAGTACTGAAAGGTTTCTGGGACCTGAGAAAAGAGATACACGAGTTCTGTGTGAAGAAAGGAAAATACATTCCAAAGCTTTCAGATCCAGACTGGTTTGCAGACCTTGGTTTTGCTGTGGATGTGACAGCACTAATGAATGAACTAAATGTCAAACTGCAGTGCAGAGGCCTTTTTGTACATGAAATGTACAGTTCAGTAAAGGCTTTCATGAGGAAATTGCAGCTTCTCTCAAGCCAAGTTAAGGACAACATTCTCACCCACTTGCCAACACTGAAGGACGTCACAAAATCAGCTGATCACTTCGAAAAGTACTCATCCATGTTAGAAGCATTGCATGGTGAGTTTTCAAGGCGATTTCAGGACTTTAAAACAGTTGAGAATGAAATGCACATGGTTACTTCTCCATTCACCTGCAGTGTGGAGAATGCACCCATGTTCAGATGGAACTGATTGACCTGCAGTCTGACACACTTCTGGCAGAGCACTTTAAGTCAGTCTCACTGCTTGACTTCTACTCTTCCCTCAAAGAGGAGAACTTTCCACACATGAGGAGGCATGCTCAGAAGATCCTCGTCCACTTTGGATCTACTGTGAACAGACATTCTCAGTGATGAAGTTCAACAAGTCCAGATACAGATCCTCTATCACTGATGACCACCTCTCAGCTGTCCTGCGCTTATCCACCTCAGACATTCAGCCAGATTTCAATGCACTTGTTCAAGCCCAGAGCAGGCTGGATTTTTCCCACTGAGCATGTAAAATGAACTGTAAAACATCAAAAGCATTTATTGCTTTTTGCATGAAGTTGACAGTTGCTTATCTTTAATATACTGTATTTGGGAAAATTAACGTGTTAAAAATAAAATGAAACACTGATACAATTATTGTTTCTTCCATTAAATTCTATTAAATTCTATGTTTTTTACAATAGGAAAAATTAATACTGAGCAGAATTAAGCTCATGTTATTGTTGGTTCGGCCCTCCAACACAAGTCAGTTTTCTTGTGTGGCCCCTTTTAAAAATTAATTGCCCACCCCTGCTGTAGAGGGTGCCTTTATATAAGGTGGGGGAGTATAAGCAAGAATGGGACGGCCTCTTCCCTCCGACGGAAAAAGAACGCAGTTGTTGCTAAGACAACACAGTAATGCCGCATGTGGCTGTAGCTCTGTGTCGCAGGTTTTTACAAAGAGGACCTTCCCTTTAGGGATTAAAGATGTATTTTTTTTCTTTTTCTTAACTTGTGGTTTTCCATCAGTGTGATGAAGATGCACCAAACTGTGGAACATTTGGAAGAATTTATTTCCTCCGCCATTAGTTCGCCGTTACACCTGCTGCCCAAATTCCTGTGAGCCTTCACTCATGTAGGCTTTCTATTTAAGGGCTGAACGGTCCACTCACCCTACCCACTACGTGGTTTGAGACGTCACCTTAATAGGGCGGGGCCTTTGCACAAACGGAGGATTAGTACTTAGGGGAAGTGTTTAGGGGCTAGTTTGGTATTGGCGCCCCCTACCTCCTGAATCAGCAGCGCCTTTCTGTTTAACGATGACATTTTTTAAGTTACTTTCACAACCAGATTTATTCAGGTACATATGATCAACACTAATTAGTCCATACATTCAGTCATATGTAAGAAGGTGGAACAGTATAAGGAACAAGGTGTCAGGATCTGAGGCTGATACTGAACTGCAAAACTGTAGCAATGTTCATAGCTTCTTTTGCTAGCTTACAGTAGCAGCCATTCAAAGGGCCTTCCCAGTCAAACGCCAGCCGAATAGCAGCCAACTTCCCTGCAACTCTCAGCAACTTCCAGCCACTGGAATGGCCCCCTCCTTCTCCTGGGCATGCATTTTATTTACTCTGACTGCACCCTTTCACTGAATTACAAGGTCTGACCGGGACATTAAGATCTCTTTAGGTCTTAATCTCCACATATTGTGGCAGAAATAATATTTTAGTACAAAGATTGATGTTTAAAAAGGAATTGTAGGGGACCAGCCAAGGACTCATCAATTCAATTCAGTTTATTTCTATATCAACAATTCAAATCTGCTAAAAGAGCTGAGTTACTCTCAATATCTATTTTTTAATCAACTGTCAAAGTGTTATTTCTTCATTAAATTCTTTTAAAACCTTCATTAACTAAACGTTTTCTTCAGTTGCAATGGCAAACGGCAAATTTTCAAAGACTTTATGACACCTGCTGCATTTCTTCTGATGAGATACAGCCTTTAGTCGTTTCAGTTTATTTCTATAGCTCCAATTCCCAACACATGCCATATCAAGGCACTTTACAGTTCACCAGATCATACAGTCAAATTGATTCAAAGTTTTCTATCTAAGGAAAACTAGATGATTGCATCGACTCATTGACTTGAAGGCAATCCCTCACACTAAGCATGCTAGTAGTGACAGTGGAGAGGAAAAACCCCCCTTTAACAGGAAGAAACCTCCAGCAGAACCAGGCTCAGTGTGAGCGGCCATCTGCCGAGGTCGACTGGGGTTCAAGGAGACAGAAGCAAAGATACAAAAGGCAACACAGCTAGGCAGACGAGCTCCGAGCCAGCTCCCATGTCAGAGCATGAAGAGAGCACATCCAGCCAGTCACAGTCAGAGAAACAGGACTACACTGAAAAACAGGCTGATCTCCAACATTTTTAAACAAAGGTGTTGGTTGCAGCAGCACAGCTTTCCACATCAAGGAAAGTGGGGAGCGTTTGAATGGCTACTACTGTATTTTGCTAGCTCCTTTCCTTCACCTTTCATGGGGTCAAAGTAAAACTCTATCCAGGGTAGGAAAGGAGTTCTGGACTGCTGAGGAGAATCCAGAAAATCTCCAGCCTTCTAGAAGTCATTATGCAACAAATGATGCTCGATGAATTGGAACTACAGCCTTTAGAAAAACAACAGCAGAACCAGAAATGTAGAGAACAGCTTAAGCTCTGTGCTCTGAAACCCAAAACTTAAGAAGGTATTAGCATGTTTCACACAGACTACATAAAGAGGAAATAATGTGTTATTGTTAAATTGGATGAGGTGGGGCATGCTTGGCTACAATTTGACAAAATACATACATTTACCCAGGGCAAAAAAATGCAGAAAAGCATAACCCAAATGTAAAGAATTTTCAAACCCAGCGTTTGGGTAAACAAATAAAACCCTGCATCTTTTAGACTGTAACATCAGCATCACAAACAGGATTCATTTGGAAATAAAAAACTGATCTGTTGTACCCAACGCTTGCTGACATGGAGCTCTCTGTGAATGCACCTACATGTTTCCACTGTCCTCTACCTAAAAAATAAATAGGACTTACTGGAATTATGGCTCCACAGACGCCAACAGGTTCATGTTTGGTTATGGACATGAAGGTTTTATCTGTTGAGAAAAGAAAAAGTTATCTAAGCCTTCTGGAAAAGCTCTACATTTGTCTGTTTATTAATGTTATTTCTTATCCTTTATTATCCTTTTTAGAGTTTATACTAAATCATACAGAACGTCACACTGTGTCATGGTTCTGGTTCTATTCAAGTTTTATCTGAGTTTTCATTGGTCTTATTTCCATTTTGCTTTATTCTAGTTATTTTTGGTTGTGTTTGAGGTAGTCTTAGGTATTTCTTGTTTGCCCTCTGCTGCCCCCTTGTGTCAGTCTCCTTTTCCCCTACCCCCCTTCTAGTCTCCTCTGTTTACACCTGCTCCCAATCTGCTGATTAGCCTGGTCTTTATTTCTCTCTCCCATATATTCTCCTCCTGTTCAGTCACTCTTTGCTGGGTTTTTTGTAATTTCTTTGCCCCCTTGTTGTGAGTATTCTTGGCTTCCAGTATTTTTTTTTTATTTTGTGGATTTATTTTTTTGAGATTTTTGGGATTCTGTTTCCCTTTTAGTTAATTAAATCTAGCAAGAAACCACCTCAGCTCTCAGCTTCAGTGTCTGCATTTGGGTCCTGTCAAACCTCCCCCACCGTGACACAGCTCAAGTCGGTGCCTCTTAAATCAGTAAGTTGTGATCTATAGATTTTAAACCAGCAGACCTTGACTTCATGCTTGGCTTTCTGGACAGATTTGCTTTGAGAACAGTTTCCTTTGATCTGCTGATGAAATTTAGCTATAATCAGTGGTAGACAAAGTCCTTAACAGTATTGTTTGAGTATAAGTATTGATACTTGTGGTCAAATCTTACTCAACTACAAGTAAAAGTTGCTCTTTTAAACATCCACTCAAGCTAAAGTACGGAACTACTTACTTTTGAAAATACTGAAATATTTAAAAGTACTTGAGTATTAAAAAAAATCCAAATTACATTTTCTAATATCAGTAAATTTCTGTGTAACTTTCAGAGCAATTTTTAAGAACCTTGTAATTTTCAGAAACCACCTGATATATTGATGCGTAGATCTGTCTGCTACAAATTCTACATCACCTGTACAGAACTTCAGCATGAAAAGGCTACAAAAACTAAGACAGCTACTATGATTATTATTTCTTATTCAAAAAGAAAACAGGAGTGTCTTGATTCTCTTCAAACGTTTCCTACATTTGTGGAATTTTATTAAATCTCTAAAACGGTGGTTCCTAATTCAGTCCTAAAGGCCGCTATCTTACATTTTATAATTGCATTTCAAGAAAGAAACTGAGACAAAAGGAACAAGTAATTAGGAGCTCCCAAGAAATTGAGTGAAGTGAAAGTTATAAGTACCCCTGCAAAAAAAATCAAGTAAACATACTCAAAAAAAGTACCGTGACCAAGTAAATGTACTTGTTACTTTCCACCATTGCCTATTATCCACATAACAGTTTTTAAAGTCGTAGGTAAGCGACTGTTCCAACCGTTGCATTTCCAAATTCTCCCAAGTGGTGCCCGACTTTACACGAGTGAATAAAGTGAATGTGATTGGTCGTTTATCAAAGGGGCGGGGTTGTTGTGGCAGAGGGTTCACTATTTGGTTGTGGTCGGTTTCTCTGAAGCATCTTGCTAACCAGTTAGCAACTTAGTGCTAGTAGGTTCCCAATGGGAAATTCCATTGGGACCAAGTAGCACTACATTGGTGACTTAGAAATGACACTGTCAAGGAACGCTATGGACAGAGGAAACATGCAAGAGGAGGAGAGTTTTGTGTCGGAGGACGTGGATGAGTCTCCTCTGTCACACATTGTTTATTTAGAGGAGGAAAGGGGGGGTGAAGATGTGGAAGAGGACGCCAGGGCGGCAGAAGCTTGGTTTGGTGTAGAAGGCTTACAGCCGTACATGTTTGAGCCCTTGCCTCACAGCGCTGCCAGTTCTGTTAGCTCTACGCCTGCCGAAGACACAAATGTCTATCCCCGTGAACACTGGGACGGAACTCAACGAGAGAAGAAATTATTCTTATTTCAACCGTTGCGTATATTAGCTGCAACATATGAATCAAGATGCAACAACCAAAAAATTTGATTGACAGATGACCGTTGATATATGATTGGCCGAATTTAGATGTTCAGGCTGAAGTATAACTAACTGGAATATTTTATTTTTTTTAAATAGAAATGTTCAAAATTTTGTAACAATAAGTCTGACAAAGAAATTTATACATGTGTTATATACACGACAGAATGATTTGACATTTAAATATGACTTCCCTAGACTTTAACGAGCATGTGTTCTGTAACTCATATATTTATTTATTTTGTGAGCTTTTACGACACTAGTGGCTCGTTTTATGGACAGTAGGCTGCCAGGAAAGGGGGTATGAGATGGGGAGATGCATGCAGCAAAGTACCACAGGTGGGATTCAAGCCTGGGTCGCCCGTGTCGAGGATTAGGGCCTCCATACATGGGTTATGTGTGCTAACCTTGTTGAAAACCATCCTAAACTGTCTGTCTGAATATTGGGTCCAAGTTTCTGAGGTAGTTACAGTTTGAAAATATGGAAAGCGGAATTAAACCCACAACCTTACAATAAGAGTAAAGCCACTCTTTTCGCTGCCGCCCTTTGATGGGGATTTTTTTTGTGTGTGCATCTTGGACACATTCAGATTCTTGTCATCGTTATTTAAGTTTAGTAAATTTAATAAAAATAATGATTCTAAATCATCCCATTATGGGTGATTTAGTTCACAAGGAGATGACCATGTCCTCAGGAAACGAAAAAGGGAAATGTTGCATAACTGATGGTTTGATTCCACACACACTCACCCACAGGAACCGTCCTGCCATGAATCTTGTCGGCCCAGCCTGCGTAGTAACGCAGAGTTTCAATGCTGCCTTCCAGGTCAATGAAGAAAGCCTGGAGGAACGGTTTCCCCGTGTCCAGGCTCTCCAAGGTCTAAAGAATCAACAGGAGGCTGCAATCAGTCCTTTTACTTTTTCTGTAGATTTTACAAACTTTCCAACTGATCCCAAAAATAATGACCCCTAAAAATACATGTAGTTACATTCATTTATAAATTAAAGGTATAATGGAGGATTTTCATCACCAGAATGATTGCCAATTAGGTGGACCACTTATTTTGATGATCCAACCGGAAAAGGAACATCCTCCAATATACCTTATCTTTAAAATACAATAAAACAAATTTAAATGACACTAATTTATTTCAAAATTTTAATATGATTCCATTCATTTTATTGGTATATTTAATATTTGAATAATGTAATTGATAAATGGATATAAATGTTACCTCTATTTTGTCAAGTTAGTTTTTAATGCGATATTCATATTTATAATT